GCTGCAGTTGCGGTTAGCGTTGCAGTTGTAGTGGTTGTTGATGCAGTTGTAGTGGTTGGCGCTGCAGTTATGGTTGCTGGTGCTGCAGTTGTAGTTGTTGTGGTTTGTGCTGCAGTTGTGGTTGCTTAAAGACAGTGAGTTAAGCGCAGATTAGAATGACTTAACACGATGAAACTTTCATTCATAATTTCAGTAACAGCCACAGACTGCTGGCCCCTCTCCAAATAACTCGACAGAAAATAATCTGTCTACTAATCTTAGTAGCAACTCAAAGTCATTCCATGCAATCATTTGATATTGACAGGAGTTTCAAGTATAAGCTTAGAAGCACTAACTTAAGGTAAGCTTTATTGAACATGTTAAGCTCTATCTTGAATATGTGCTGTGTGGTCAGCAGAGCGTGAAAATATTTAACTTCACTTAGTTTCAAAGAAGCCATCTGTAGACAGAAAATTTGATTTCTAAAAAACATGAACTGAAAATGGGTTTTATATGCCATATCATTACATATATCATACACCCAATCCAATGTTACAGTTTAATAAACTGTCATTAAACCTACTCATCCAAGGTGCTCTAGTCATATTGTTACAATTTAATAAACACAAATAAGTTGGGGGATTTATTTGTGTTTATTAAATTGTAACAATATGACTAGAGCACCTTGGATGCTCTAGTCATATTGTTACATGGGATCACTGAAGTCTTCATTCTCCAGGAGTTTGTGCATTCCAGTGATCCCAGGTTCTTGGAGGTAACCAAAATTTTGCTCACAGTACTACAGTTTAAAAAAACCTGATTATTAATATTTTGTGGAGTCTGTGCTTTTATCATTTTGTTTTAGTATTGTACTACATTTGTTGTAGTTGAATCACTCTAAAGCTGTCTAATATAAAAAGTACAAACAATGCTATAACTTGCAAAAAACACTTACTTTGTGCCAAAGATGTCTGAAAATATGCCAGCAGACATATCCAGCAAAGTATTCTTTTATCCATGATGAACTCTGCTACTACTCACTACTCCCAGATTGTCTCAGACTCTGACTGTTTGTTTTCTGTGTCTGCACACTTTACTTAGATGACATGATTTGCTCCTCCCTCCAATATTAAAGAGTGTCACATGACCTGAAAAACCACAAACCAAAGGTATGTGCACTGAAACTTACATCTTTATATAATGCAGGTCAAGTTAAATAGTAAAAACATAGTTCCATAGCTCCACATAGTTCAAAATGAGTAAATGTCACTAAATGTTTAATTGCATGATAGGAGTACTGGTACATATAATGAGAGCTTTTCCTCATTAAAAGTATGTTAAGTGTAGTAACAGGGGAAGCATAGATGGAATTAGTTTTACTTCAAGTTAATATTGGAAGTGCTTGAGAACTGAAGTATTCTTTTTTTAATATTCTACTATAGATTTGCTGTGAAATTCTCTTCAGCTTTGCCAATATCCAAATCTGAGTGACTGAGTTAGGACAATACTGATGCAGTATGTAAGGACTAACACTTTAAAGCTTCAAAGGAACTACAAATCATCATAATAGAACAAATAGCCAGATCCTTGATTGCACCCTGATGGTTAACTGCTCAGTATGAACTTATTTTCCTTCCTGTGGAATTAACTGAAATACATTGGGTTTTCAAAAAGATATTTATATATATTTGCTCAGTACTTGCCATTCATTTGTTTTCAACAGGTGTAGCTTGCACTTTCTTTTTATTGTTTAACAATTGTAGAAAAACAGCACACACAAACAACACAGTGGATATAAAAGCAACTTTCCGAGGTCACGAGGGAAGTACAGTGCTTTCAGCCATGTGAGTTCACCTAAACTAAAAAACGTCAACCTATGTCATAGTATGACTTACTGGAAATCGTCACAGAAGTTGGCAAACCAGTTTTTCATAAAATGTGGCTCACCTTTTATTCTGGTCATCCTGCTTTTCACCTTAGCCACCACTAATCTCTGTAATTACTGAACACTTTACAGTTTAATTCATTCAGTCACTTTGTTTTTCCTGGCAGAGCAGTTGCCAGGTTCAAAGCATTTGTAATTATATTAAAATGCTATTACTCTTCCTATGAGATGTATGGCAATCTTACACTCTTATTTAAGTTTTCCTGTGTGCTGCTTATCACTTGGTATAATAAACTTCATATATATTGCTTGACATATTTGTTTGTTTGTAGGGGCTGCCACTTGTATGTATTTATTGACTAAATTTATGCACAGTGCCAGTCTCAAATTTATTTACTTGAATTACATGTGAAGTATGTGCTATTGACTTGTGCTGAGTTTCTGGTACGCCAGGTGCTGATAATCAGGTGCCTGACTGTTGTCTGATTAGCAGCATCTGTAAGCATGGACCCTGCTACAGCTGTCAGTTGATGTCTGCACCAAGCGTGCCACATTTGACAGATGGCATAGAACATCTTCAAGCTGGTGTTCTACAAAATCAAGTTGCAGCGATATTAAGGAATAAGACTCAAGTTCTATTCCAAAATTAAAAACCAAGTTCCATATAACAGGGCATGTCAGACACAGTATGATGAAGGCGAAGCTGGCATCCCAACAGGACAACATCAGAAGACTTTCCTTACCATGTCAGCACTTTTACGGGATGATATGACCAATGGTTCTCTACCAGGCAATCTGGAAAAGATCAAGCATGTCAATCTATGGTCTCATAAAGCTGCCAGGATGTCTGCCATGACTCCAATTCACCATCATCACCACCAGAGATGGGCATTAACGCGTTACTGTAATCCGATTACTTTTTTCAAGTAACGAGTAAAGTAAGGGATTACTATTGCAAAAACAGTAATTAGATTACCGTTACTTTCCCGTAGGAACGCTGCGTTACTGCGTTACTAAAACCGTGATTTTTTTTGCGAGAATGTCTCACGACAGTGACGTAAGCAAGTGCGACGTTCATGACAACAGCTGTGTGCAGATCAACAATGGATCACATATCGAGTGCGGGAGAGAGTATGAGCGTGCAGCGAACATTTTTCTTTAAAACAAAGGGGGCCCAGCAAAAAAGTTTGGGAACCACTGTTCTAGAGGATCTTTTTGAGTTAATTTATTTTAATTGGATCTAAAAACAAGTTGATCTCCACATTGTTGCTGGAATAATGTTATCATGTAGGCTTCAAAGATCCGTGTCTATAAGCGTTCATGTGCGTCATCTGTTATTATGAGCTTCCTACCATCGTTAAACTTTGCTCTGCTATGATGCCTCATCTAAGTCTTATCACCAAAAAGTTTGAGTAACAACTCTGTATTCAAGTGATGCAAGTTCAGTTCTTTCTAATGTTAGTTAGCCTGCTTAGCAAAATGCACCAGTAAACTGTGAGAGTGAGTAACACAGGCACAGATATCTTGGCTAAAATGTTTAGTCATGTTAAGGCACCCACCTTTGATTAAAAGAGCTTTTAATAGTTTAATTGAGAAAAGTACAAAAGCAAGCAGCGATGAAAATGTATTTGTTATGAAAGTGTAATTACTAGACAAATGTAGTCTTTTAGTACGAGCATGCACTGAATAAAGCAGAAACGCACCCAGTCTGCTGCTAAATGAATGAAATAATAATAATAAAAAACATTAAACATAGGAGTTTGTGTTAGTTATTAATTTAGCTTTTGGAAAGTTAAAAAAAACTTGTTGATGTTTGACAAAAATATAATTTTAGTTTATTTTTATTTAGTCATTGTTCTGTAAATGGTTTTGCTCCTGGTCCTGTGTGCAGTCTCTGCTGTCAGCTCCATCTGTCGTGTTTTTTTTTTTTGGAGCCTCTGTCCAAAGAAACCTTCCAGGGCTTCAGCCTGCGCCTCCTCAGCTCCATCAGGAGGTGGCAGCATTGAGAAGGATACACACCTGGACTGGATTCATTGCTCTTGTGCTTTGTCATTACTGTTCCTACAGTCATGTGACAACTGTGGTAAAGATTAAGATTTATTTACTCATGTATCAAATTGTGGACAAAAATCATAAATTCTCATCGACTTTCCTGTTTAAAAATATGCAATTGTTGCTCCATTTTCCCAAACTGCATGACATTTTTTATTTTGCTCTATGCCAGAACAATTAAAATAATTTATACTATAAAACTAGGGAACTTTGAAACATGAATAAATATTTCAACAATAACTTCAAAGTGTGAAAAATGCTATACTTGCATTTTTCTTTATTTTTTGTGTGTTTGTTTTTTGTGTAGCAGATTTAAATTGTCATATGGATATCTGTGCCAATGTATCTACAAATGTAAATAAGAATTATAATTATAACTAATGATGCATAATAAAAGGTTCCCCTGCACACACCATGTCTTGGACCAGCTCTAAATTTTGTTATAGTGTTTCAAAGCACAATACAAACAGTACACAATAACAAACAGGGAGAGCTTTAAAGTTCATCAAGTGAA